CATTGCGTTTGCACTCTTTCCTCTTTTTTAAGCCTACTAGGGGTACAAAAGAGGGCACAGTTTTTAATGGGGTAAGCACATTTATATATCCTTACCTCATATATAGTGTTTTGGTGAGTCCCAATGCCTATTTATATGATTGTATTTAACTATAACATTTTCTTTCCAGATCTGCTTCAATGAGCCTTTTGACACCCTGGTGCGGATTTCAAGTTTTCAATCAATCTCCAGCTGAAATACATTTTAAAAGAAGTTCCTACTATTCCTGCAATCATTCCATCCAACTCGAACAGATAAGCAAATGCCCCATAAGCATTCACTCTTTTAATCAGACTCATACATGCATGATCCAATTTCTTTCTCTATAGGAATCTCCTACATTCTCCCATTCATTTCTTTATCAGAAAACTTGAATTCTGACACTTAAACCCCAATTCCTTACAAGTGTCCCTTGGGTATGTTAAAATGATTATCTTGTCCAGAAGAAAGAGTCTTCAATTACATGGAAATCCTAGATAAAATAGGGAAGGTATTTATGAATCCTGCTCTTCTTTCTTCTCCCTGTGATATGAGATTTCTTGTTTTCAGGGCCAATGGTTTTCAAACTTTCTGACTTCAAAAAACTGTTCCACATTGGCATTTCTGCTACAGCAGTGTGGTGGTCTATGGACTACTGCCAGTATCTGAGCCATTGTCTGCTAATATTGGAAGAATTTCTAGGAATTTAGAAATTCCCAATTTAGTCAAGGGGGAAATATATGGGGTCAGCCCAAGGTGTGCATGTGTGTATGTGGGTGATTGCTGGTGTTTCACATCAGATAACCACATGCAATGTGCCAAGAAACTCTGCAGGTGTAATGTGGGACCATTACTGATTGCAGATGCATTGTCATACACATTGCTAGCTGGACTTGTCGGCACTGACTCTTTTGAGTTGGAACTTACCCTAGAAGGTACCTAGCCTCCCCTCTTACTTTTGACCTCTGAAAGTAGTTAGCAGTGGTTGGCAAGCTGTTTTGGGGGAACGTGTCCACCAGTGGAGGGCATCAGTGATTCTCATGTCTCTGGTTATGTCCAAAATTTAAAGCTGGTATCCAAGAGGTTGGATCAATTTTGGGGTAAAGCTCCTTTAAAGTTCAGCCTAAAAGCTCAGACCAGATTCACCATTGACTCCCAGAAGCTTCCACTGCTCTTGATTATATATTAATCATACTGAAGATGGGATCATAAATATCTGTCTGAATCACAGATTCATAGAATCATAGAGTTTGAAGAGATCTCAAGGGCCATCCAGTGCAACAACATTCTGCCATGCAGGAATGCACAATTAAAACACTCATGACAGGTGGTTATCCAGTCTCTGTTTAAAAACCTCCAAAGAAGGAGACTCCACCACATTTCAAAGCAATGTATCCCACTTGTCACCTCATCTCCATACCCACAAGATTTTGACTTTGAATTGACATTCTCACACATAAATGGATTATATAGGTCTGTCTCTGGATTCCCCACTCCAAATATGCATCTGAGGAGATAGGCTCAAGTCTATGGACGTTATCACATGGGGGCAAATCTGATGGTTAATCCACACAAATCCCAAACAGAAACTGGATTTGTGCCCCGCGTTTTTACATGACGTCGCACAGAAACTGGACAGAAAGTGGACAGAAACTTGTGTTAACCGAGATCATTTGAAATTTGGTTGTTTGAAGGAAATGCAAATGTGAAATTAAGGTAATTTCGCATTTACCATAATGTAAAAAGCAAATGCGAATCTGGAAGCATTTCCCTGCTTTTCCCATGGTTCTAGCAAGCATTCCTCTATCTGCGCATGTGCAAGAAGATCATTTCTAGTACATTTACGGGCTTTTCTCATTTGTGTCTGAACGTTAAATGCGCTTACTGTAAATTCACAATTAAGGTAATTACGTGTGAAAGCCATTTGCGGAATCAAGGTTTATTTTCCATTTATTTTCGAAATGCCTCATTTCCACTTTATTATCACTTTCTGGCCCACATGTGATAACATCCTATGAAAGCTCATGCTACCAACTTCTTTCTTTTAGTTACTCTCAAAGGTTCTACAAGTTCCCTTTGCATACTGATCTTCCTTACTAACACAACTATGTCTTTGAATTCTCAGAGCCAGGCCTGGATTTATTGATCTGTCAGTTTGGGTCTTCCCACATGTGGACAGTCTAGTCAAGGTTTAAAATTTAAAGGAACTATCCAAGCTATTTGTTCCATTTTGAGGATAAGGTTAAGCATCTTGCGTAGCTCCTTTAAAGCCTGGGCCACAGCCTGGAGCAGATTCACTGCCCTACTGATATCAGAGTCGCTAGCCACCAACAAAATTTTGAAGAAATATGAGAATGGAAGAAATGAGAGCAAATTTTGTCCGCTGTACCTTGGCCACAGCAGCTAGTGAGAGTCCCTTACTCTTTGTTCCAACTGTCATTGCTCTGGCCTCTGAGGGAGAGAAGAGCAGCCAGGCATGATGGCATTGTATCTTTGCCCAGCAGCTAGTGAGATGTCTTCCTCCTCTCTAACTGCCATTGCTCTGGCCTCAAAGGGGAAGAAGAGCAGCCAAGCACAGCTCCATCATGCCTGAGACCAGTGACCCGTCTCCAGATTTCAACTGCCATTGCTTTGGTTTCTGAGGGAGAGAAGAACAGCCAGTGTCTGCTGGATTTCCACTTCCCCACTGCCATCCCTTTTTACTTTATGTGCTATATTTTATTTAGATTGCAAGCCTGAGGGCATGGAACTGTGAAATTAATTATTTGTAAGCTGTCCTGGGAGCCATTTTGGTTGAAGGGTGGGGTATAAATACTCTAGGTAGATAGATAGATAGATAGATAGAACATAATAAATACATAAATTTTATAATAATAATAAATAATAATAATAATATATTTTATTTATATACCGCCCTAGTGGAAAACCAATCTAGGCGGTGAACAATAAAAATTTTATATTACAACAAGTTAAAACAACAACAATCCCTCCACCCCCCCCTTAAAACATTATTAAATTAGGTACAATTAAAACAACTGCAGTTAAGCGGTACTTAAAATAAATTTTGGGAAGTTCCTATCAAAAGAGAAGGAATTCTTACCCTTTCCTACTTCCCTAACTGGAGAAATGTGTGCTGGTATCCCTAGAGAAGTAAATGCTAAAAAGGTAATGAGAGATGGTCTGAATATTATAGAAATTAACCAACCAAACCTTTACCTGAAGATTTGCATTCAAAGAGGAGTGCAGTAAAAAAATAATTACATTTTTCAACCACAGTATTAACATAAATGAATAAATAAATAAAAACTACCATTTCTTTGAAATAGTATCTTATAAAAAAATCCTTAACTGGTTTCTAAATTATTTCTTTTTATGGTAAAAGCTTTATAATTAACAAGCCAGACATTGATTTTCAGTCATTACCAATTTCTCTGGGATTATTATTGCTTCCATAATCATCTTCACTGTATTAACATAGATTAAGCAGCCCTTTAAAACTAAGCAGCTTCATTAGCTCGAAGCATGGGGGGAAAGTAGAATAACTCAGCACTTCAGTTAAGCATTACCTGGGAGCTGAAAATTGGCCTCATTGAGGCCAAGCATTAAAATGTACTGCCTGCAGAAATTGGGTGGAAATATCCCAATTTGGTGTGCTTCCCTTCACTTTGGAAGCTATCACTGAAAACGTGGCCCATCTCATTAATCTTGGTTGAATTTTTCAGCTGCATTCTATTACTCCATCAAATATTTTGTGATCCAGTAAAAAAGGCATCCACTGACCTAGACCTAGGAAAACCTATGTTTCAGCTACAGTTCCCGAAATACCAGAACTAACAAGCTGGGATAAGTCCAGAAGAGGATGACCAAGATGGTAAAGGATCTGGAAACTTAGCCTTATGAGAAACAGTGGAAGGCACTGGATACATCTTCAACTTCTCTAAAAAAAAAGAAGTTTAAGAAGTGATGTGATGGCCATCTTTAAAGATGAAGCAAACAACTGTTTTTGCAACTCCAGACTGTAGGACCTCAATGGGTAGATTCCAGTTACCAAAAAAAAAAAAAAAAAAAAAAAAAGGAAATTCCAATTAAACATTAGGAAGAACTTCTTGATGGTCAAAGCTGTCTGATAGTGGAAGGGAATAACCTGAAAAGTTGTGAACTCTATTATTTTTATTACACATGGCTTTTAAATCACAGTTAGAGCTGGGAAAAAAGCAGCTTTGGAGATACTTATCACACTATGACACCTCCAACCTGTAGTTGCTATGTCTGAAAGCATGATTAGGGCATCCCTTTTCATTAATGGGGAAAACCTATCAATTTCCATTTCAGATGTGGCAACAGAAGGCTCCTTAATGCAATGAATTTGCTCTAGGCTGTAGTCCAGACTTTAAAGGAGCTATGCAAGATGCTCAACATTATCCCTCAAATGAAACAAGTAGGCTGGATAGTGGCAACAGCTAAGTAAGGTAAGGGGTGCATGGTAGTAGTAGGTCTGTGGCATGAGGACAATCCCAAAAACTCTATGACAAACTGCAGACCTGCATTAAGACCCTTTTGCCCAAGGATTGTGCTGGATTCACTGGATCAGTACGCAGTCTGCTGGATCTGGGCCCAATCCTCTCCATGGCTAATGGGCTATGTTGTCCAAACAGGACAACATAAGGCCTGGGGGGAATCATGGGTCTTTTGGCCATGAGGACAGCCCCAGAGTTGGCCATGTACAGCTGTGAAACCACACAAAGCTCCTAAATCTGTTTTTGCAGCTCTCCTTCCTCTAGAGCAGGGGTAGGCAACCTTTCCCCTTTAAGGGCCGAGCTCCCAGAAGCCTCAGCCATGTTGGCCAATAGTCCCATGTTGGCCAATAGCTCCTGGGATTCTGGGAACTGAAATCCCTTGGCCCTTGAAGGGGAAAGGTTGCCTACCCCTGCCCTAGAGCTTGGAGAGTATTCATTGCCAAAGGTCATCTAGTTGAGTTCCATTGCAGAGAAGGAATTCAAACCCTGACCTCCTGGAGTCCTAGTCCAACATTCTAACCATTACACTACACTGACTCTTAATGCTATATTCGGGCAACATGTAGTAAATTCACAACATATTTTGTGAAATAATGCATTAAAAATAATAAAATTTGATGCAGATTTGGGGGCAACAATGCAAATTGATGGGGGAACTAGATGGATTTAGGAAATAACTTATACAAAACTGGTATGCAGTTGAAAAACACTGACCTGGCCAGCTCTACTTATAGGCCAATCACAACCCTACCTACAGTCTGGGACACATGAGTGTGGATTAAGAAGACTGTCTAACAGATGCCTAATAAAATCAGCAAAAAGGAGTGTAGCAGAGCCCTTCTCCTCTGGCCTAGAATTTACAAGACCTTTTTACACAATCATGTTCACTTTAAAACTGGCTTGATCAAAATCTGGCTTTTAATTTGCAGTTGCCAAAAGAGAGCCTGAATCCTTGTGACAGGCCTTTGAAGGAGGAGAATGGGGATGGGTGAGGAGACAACATTTTCTGCACTAAGCAGAAATGGGACTAATTAGTGTAATAAAGCAGTAGGTCTGATGTGCTAATAAGATCCACTTCACTGTATTAATATCATAACACAAAGCTCTCCTTTTTTTTTCTCAGACTGTCTGTACGTCTCCAAAAATGTTTTAAAATGAAAACATATTCCCCATGATCTGCTCAGTTCTTTTCTCATTTGCTCTTATAAGCAAATATATCATCTGATATTAGAATTCACTTTTTCTTGGGGTAGGTGATGTTGATGAGTTCTTTTCACAGAAACATAGGATTACAAGACTTGTACAGTGTCCAGATCAAGGGGAGTCATAGTTCTACTCTATTCTACTTTGTTCACCTGGAAGACTGTGTCCAGCTCTGGGTATGAAAGCTCAAGAAATATATTGACAAGCTTAAACATATTCAGAGGAGGCTGACCAAGATTCAAAGTGCTGGTTATGACTTATAAAGCCCTACAGGCTTAGGTCCAAATTATTTGAGAGATCATATCTCCCCATACGAACCACCTAGAGCCCTAAGATCTTCAAGAAACGGCTTTCTCTCGGTCTTGCTACCATCACAGGTTTCTCTGGTGAGGACATGTGAGAGACCCTTCTCGGTGGCTGCTCCTGCCCTCTGGAATGCCCTTCCACAAGAAGTAAGGCTGGCCCACTCCTTGCTTGTCTTTCACCGGCAGGCAAAAATGGCTCTTTTCAGGCAGGCTTTTAATGCATAATGCAAAATTATGGGATGGATATTATGATTTTAATGTTTGTATTTTATATTGTTTTAATAATAATAATAATAATATCTTATTTATATCCCAGCTTTAGCCAAGGCTATCAAGGCGGCTTACAATTTAAAAATGCAATTCCATACAATATAAAGGACAAATTACCCCTTTTAGCTGATGTTTGTAATTATTTTATTGTGATATTGCTTTTTTAGAATTTTGTTTTTGAGTCGCCTTGGGTCCCTTTGCAGAGAAAGTCAGGATAGAAATAAAATAAAATAAGATGGGGAAAGGTCTGGATACCAATTCCTATGAGGAATGAGTTTGTGGAGCTGGCTATTTTTAGCTTGGAGATGAGAGGGTTGGGAGGTGGTATGATAGCCATCTTTGATTATCTGAAGGGATGTCATGTAGAGGGTGGTATGAGCTTATCTTCTGCTATTCCAGAGGCTAAAACATGGAGCAATAGCTTCTAATTAAAAAAAAAGTTTCTCCTAAACATTAGGAAAACCTGTTTCTGACTGTATAAGATCCATTCAGCAATGCATTGGGTTGCTTCAGATGGTGGTAGAATAAGTGATTTTTTTGGTAGGATTAAATTAAACAGTGATAATGTAGCCAGTGTGAATAATGTGAGTGCTGGACTGGGACTCCAGAAGATCAGGGTTCACCTTCTTACTCAGCCATGGAAATTCATTGGGTGACCCTGGGCAATAACACTCAACCTCAGAGAAAGGCAATACCAAACCTCCTGTGAGTTAACCTTGCCATAAAATCCCTGTGAAAATTACCTTGAAGGTACACGTGTTGTTGTTTTTGTTATTGTTGTTGTTGTGTGCCTTCAAGTCATTTCCAACTTACGGTGACCCTAAGGTGAACTTATGTCTGGATTTGTTCAGAGGGGGTTGCCTTTGCCTTCCTTTGAAGCTGAGTGTATGACTTGCCTAAGGTTACCCAGTTGGTTTCCATGGGCAAGTAGGGAGCTGAATCCTGTTCTTGAGAGTCCTTTAGTCTGTTGCTCAAACCATTATACCATGCTGGCATTCTGATGAAGAAACAGGGAGTGTAAAAGAATGGAAAGCTTTCTAGTAGATTGTGCAGGGCCAGCATCTACACCAGCCATGTACAAGTTCACTTTCCAACATGGCAATGTCACCATACAAATGCAAAACTGTATGCAGCCCTTGGAAGTTTTCAATTACATCCTAAAGTCACAGGATACCAGAGTAGGGAAAGTATGACCCTTCGGTGACCTCTGTTCCCACTCTCTTTTTTGTGGCCAGGGTAATCCCCTGACATCCCCTAAAAGTCCACAAAGTTCCTTGATTTAAAAAATAATAATAATTTGGGGGTCTTTTCATACAAAACATTACCAAAAGAGGGTCAGAACTCTTACAAAAGGCAGTAATTTTGCTCCTCTAAATTCCCTATTGCCCTCCCTCCATAGCCTCCAAACCATGAAAAATGGGAAATGATAGGATGATGTTCCTTGTCCCTCTATTTCATCCCATGACCCATTTTGATGGACAAGGGCAGAGGAATAATAGGATGGCACAGCCAAATTTTACTCTTACTCTTGTTCCTCCTTCTAATGTCAATATGATTTTTGGAAGTCAAAGATCTCCGACAGGTGGTAGCTCCAGTCTTAGTGAGGTGGTTAATCAGTCCTGGTGTAGTGAGATGGTGAATCAGTCCTGCTGAATTCTATGTTCACCATCACAGATATTTCCTTTAAAGTTCAGACAAAAACCTGGGATGAACTCTGGTGCAACCCATGGACATTCCCTGTCACCATTGTCCACACAGCCAATTTCAAACAGCACCAGAAATCCAGTTGAACTCATTGCAAATGAGCATTATATTCACATCTCAGATGGCTTTCTGATTTAGTAGTGCAATGATTCTGTACACTCTAGAAACAATGATAAATGTGTTGTGCTCTATTTTTACTAAGGTTTCCCTACAGAAATTGCTACATCATTGATTATTCATGTTTATGCCTCTGTCTGTCACCATCAGTGTAGATCAAGATGTTTCCATCTGAGCATAGTTTTCTAACACTTTGAAGACTGACAGAAACGTTAACACAAACATGTTACTGTAGAAAACCATTTCAAGGTTAAATCTTTTTTGTCTGGAATGCATGCTACCTGTCAGTAGAACAAGGTGGCTGTCATAACCCCATCCAGTGCATTAAACATCCACATAGATAAAGGGACAATGGAAATACTGCATCTGGTTACTAGGAAAGATCCAGACCTTGACTTTTTACTCTATTCTGGTTTGGGCAGACCTTACCCAAAATATTGTTTCCAGTTCTGGGCACCACAGTTCAAGGAGGATACTGGCAGTTTGGAACATGTTTAGAAGAGGGCAACCAGGATGGTAACGTGTCTGGAAACCCATCTGAGGAATGGTATAGGGAGCTGGGTATGTTTATCTTGGAGAAGAGAAGATTGAGAGGTGATATGATAGCCATTTTAAAATATTAAATATTAAATATTTCAACTTCTTGACTGTAAAAGCTGTTCAACAATAGAATGTCTTGGAGGCTGGTGGGTCTTCCTTCTTTGGTGGTCTTTAAATATAGGATGAGAGCATCTTTGGGGAGAGTTTTGGTTGTGCATTCCTGAATGGCAGGGGGTTGGACTAGTTGGCATTATGATAATTTCTAGCTCTTTGATTCTATACTTCCACAGGTCCAACTTCCTGCTGCTTTATGTTTATTAATGTTTCTTTATGATGTTCTCAGAGGATGTGATCCCACTCCCATGAGTCTAATCTACACTGCAGAAATAATGTAGTTTGATGCAGCTTTAACTGTCATGGCTCAATTTTATGAAATACAGGGAATTGTAGTTTGTTTTGGAATCAGAATTATCTGACAGAGGAAGCTAAATGTCACACAAAACCATAAATTCCAGGATTCCATAGCATTGAGCTATGCCAGTTAAAGTTATATTAAACTGAATTATTTCTACAGTGTAGATTAGACCATGGATTTGCAGCACAAGACATGAATAAATATGGCCCAAACATGTCCTCAGTTTTTGATAATAGTTTCTAATATTGTTTTTTTTTAGTCAAAAAGTTTTTGATATTTTTGATGAGAGAAATCCCCCCCCCTGACATTATGGTCATTTGGTGTGGTGACTTAGTGGTTAAGATGCCAATTCTGATGATCATAAGGTCAGAGGTTTGGCAGGTTGAGGCCCATGTGCCACATGATGGGGGGAGCTCCTATCACTAGTCCCAACTTCTGCCAGCCTAACAGTTTGAAAGCTTGCAAATGCAAGTAGATAAATAGGTACCACTTTGGTGGGAAAGTAACAGTGTTCTGTTTAGTCATGCTGGTCACATGACTACTGGAGTTGTCTTGGGACAACCCTGGCTCTTTGGCCTAGTAATGGAGATGAGCACCACCCCCTACAGTCAAATATGACTAGACATTCATACAAGAGGAAACCTTTACCTTTACCTTTATCCACAAATATAATTTAGTCAATGGGAAAACTTTAATAAATTTCTTGGGGAAAATGCATACAGAAATGCATATATTAGGACATTGGTTCTGAAGTATTTTTGGGGTCAGGGATCTCTCTGAGAATCTGATGAAAGCTATGGACTCATCTAGGAAAAAAGCTCAGGAAGATATACTTGCAAAATCTGGTATATAATTTATTGTCTTATATTAGAAATTGATTTCCTTCACATAGGATAGTATGTATGGAACACTGAAAAGGTTAGTTTTTTAGAATTCGCAAAATTCTCTATTTGAATTTTCACTATTACAGGGGGGATAAAATC